TTACCAAGTTTGTCATAGGAGTTGTGGCTGTTTCTGTGGTTGGGAGAGAGGAAGATGTGGGTGGGAGAGAAGTCTCCGTGGACAATGTACCTGTCACACTTGTGGAGCAGGTGATTTTGGTTGTGGAGTCTGTCACAGTGCTGGTGGGAGAAGTAGGGTAGGTGGGCTCAGATGTAGGTGTAGACCTGGTGATGGTAGTGGGGAGTGTGGTCACCAAGGTATATAGAGGAGTGGTGTCTGTGATACCACTGGTGATTGTTTCTGTGCTCAGGACAGGTGTGGAAGATAAAATGGTACCGGTGGGTGATGACAGTGTATTGGTGGCTGTGGGCCGGGAGGTGGTCGTTGTCACAGAAGTCACTGTATCTGTGGAAGTGATTGAAGAAGTGATGTGGGAAGTGGAAGTCACTGCTGTTTTGAGAGTAGTAAATACTGGGGCTGGGGACATGGTCGTACGGACGCTCCCAGTGGGCAGGGGAGTCCTTTCTGAGATTCTAGTTGTAGAGGAGACCATAGTGTGGAAGGTTGTGTCTGTGGCTGACACAGAGGAAGAGGGTGTCACTGTCACTATGGGAGTTTCCCTTGCAGAGGTGGTAGAGGAAGAAGATGTCACGGCTGACGTTCCTTTCTCAGTAGTGGTCATAGGGTAATTCCTGGTAAGGGTGGTCACTGGCTTCTGTGTCACGGGAGTGGGGGTGTAAGAGCTGGTGAAGGCCACCTGCGTCGTGGTCACACAGATGGAGGTGGGGTGGGAGATGGTGATTGTAAAGCTCGTTGGATACACGCACTCAGTGGTGGCCGAATAGACCAACACAGTGGGTGGAGTGGTTTCAACCTTGAAAGCAAACTTGGACGTCGGGGTGGTTGAGGTGTTGGAACTGACTGGAGAGGTGAGCAGTGTTTCAGAGATGAGTGTGTCATAGGAGGAGGTAACGAGCGTCATAGGTACATTTTCCCTGTGGCCAGGAGCAGAAGAGACAAGCTGGGGGACACCGAGTGGCCGCCCAGCCAGGTCTCTGGAGTGTGGAGAATTGCTGAGCACAGCGCGGGCTGCTTCCGCCCTGGGGAAAGGCACATGAGAGATGGATGTGGCCGTAGATACAGTTCCTGCATTGGCAGCAGAGCAGAGGAATCCACTGGTGAGTCCGTGGGTCATTTTGTCACATCACTCATGTAAGTTACTCACTCACTCCCATTTTCCAGGCAGCATCACAGAGGGCAGGGCATGCCACAGCTCACTCCTGCATCAGAGGCAGCTTGGAGCTGGGCGCTTTGTGGTGCTGGAGCCCACTGCCTGTCTGCTCCTAGGGGAGCAGTGGGGCATGGGAGCGCTCCTTCCTCACCCGGCCTTGGCCTTGTCATGGCCGGTCCTTCTGTCCTGGGATAGCCAAGCTGGGCAGAGCCTCCCTCCCCTCCCTTCCCTCCTCTGGTCACACGCAGGCCCCTCCTCCCTCTGCCCCTTCCTCTCCTCCCTCTGCTGCTGCCTGGAGTCCTCCCATCCCCTCCATTAACCTTCTGCTCCCACCATGGCTTCTCCCTGCACCCTGCTGCTGTCTGGGCTGACTCCCGCTTTCAAAGAGAAAAAGAGAGAACACAGCCAAATCCTAGCAGGGGACGCATCACAACAACCATGAGACAGAGAAAGCTGCACAAAGAGGGCCAGGCGCAGTGGCTCACGCCTGTAATCCCAGCATTTTGGGAGCCCAAAGCAGGTGATCACCTGAGGTCAGGAGTTCCAGACCAGCCTGGCCAACATGGTGAAACCCCATCTCTACTGAAAAAAAAAATACAAAAATTAGCCAGGTGTGGTGGCGTGCACCTGTAGCTGAGGCAGAAGAATCGCGTGAACCTGGAAGGCAGAGGCTACAGGAAGCCAAGGTCGCACCACTGCACTCCAGCCTGGGCGACAGAGCAAGACTTCATCTCAAAAAAAAAAAAAACTGCACAGGTAACATCAAGGAGAAACAGAGGCTAAGCTCACATGCTAATGACTTCAAGGGGCATGGAGTGAGGACCACGCGGAGAGGTAGAGAGACAGGATGGAGAAGGAAACTTCCAGAAGGAGCTACCTCAGCAGTCATGTGTGATGAGTTCCGGAGACCTTAAGGCTTAGTAGTGAGTGTTCATCACAAAAATAGACATATTTTTCTATAACTATTCCATTTTGACCACAGGATTCATTAGTTGACAAACATGAACCCCAGCATGTGGATTTCAACCCATTTCACAGATGGTGTGACTTAGGATCAGAGATCCTGCTGTTGGGGGCAGTCACAGGCAAGGAAGACCGGCAGCCACAGCAGACGGGAAGTGGAAAATACTGGACCTGCTGCCCCTCACCTCAGGCACAGCCCATCTTGTGGGTGAGAGCTGGGGTGTCAAGTCTCAGCCTAGCTCGCAGGTGTCAGGGAAGTGGGGTCAGGAATTATGAGAAGCCCCAAGTTACACCACTTGACTCCAGGATGTGCCCCTGGAGGTGACTGAGAAGGGAACTCATGGGCCTCTGGGGTCAGGGATCAGAGGCAGACACTGGAGAACAGGGACAAGAGAAGTACAGAGGAATTGTGGGGTGTTCCTGCAGGGCAGAAGAGAGAAGCCTGGGACCCCATGCTGGGTAGTCTCAGACGCACCCCTGGAAGCAAAGTGGACTTCAGAAGCTCCCTGCCCTGGTCCTGGTACCAACAGCTGTGCCCAGACACATGGGCCCTGGCCGGGGTGAGAGAGTGACAGCAGAGCTGGGGAGGAGCTGCTGAGGGACAAAAGGCAAAGAGGCTGAAACCGGAAGTCGGAAACCAGGGGCAGAGGTCAAAGGGCTCTCGGGGAGGGAGAGGCCAGTTTGGAGGGGGCACTGGGGCTGGGGCCGTGAGGCGGGTGACAAGAAGGAGCCAAGGCAGGAAGGGCACTGCTCTGGGAAGACGTAACTCCCACCCTCCACCCTCCCGCTGCAGACACAGGTTGGGGTGCAGCCCCTGCAACCTGTTCAGTGCTTGGTGGAGAGTGGCAGCGGGGACCCAGCTCCCTTGCTCCTTCTCAACCTCCGTTTTCCCTCTACCAAACCCTTCCTCATCCCCCCAGGGTCATGCCTTGGTTCTCCCTGCACCCAGAGCTGAGAGCAGCCCCTCCTCATTCCCCATCCCCAGGCCTCAGAGCCACCTTCTCCTCCACTCCCTTGGAACATAACATCAGGAGCTTCTCTCCAGCCCCCTCCCGCCTCTCCCCCTTACCTGTGGCCCCTGGGGAGGCCTTGAGCATCCAGAGGAGGCCGAGGAGCCCCAGCAGCTGCATTGGCCCAGCAGGCAGAGGGCTGGTGCAGAGCAGGTTCCAGGGCCAGGACAGCGGCAGGGACCGGGACGTGCACGCAATGAAAGTGCTGGTTTTCTGTACTACTGAGCACAGCCTCACCTTTGCACCGCCCCACCTCACCCCTCTTCCTCCCTTCTCCCTGCATCTGGACAGACGTCAGTGCTGTGGGAAGCAGGGACACGAGGGAAAAGGACAAATCCAGGAGGTGTCAGGCAGGGAGAGTCGCTGGTGGCCCAGCCCCACAGCCTGCCTGGCCCACGTGGAGCTGCCTGGAAACTGCCCTTCCTCCCTCACGCCCATGGAGGGTACCCTTGACCAAGGGCTTGGACTCTGGAGTTTGGGCCGACTCCTGCAGCCTCTCCTTAGTTTCAATTCCTCCTGCTGGGGAGACGGTGCAACCTCGCTCTCCTTCAAGTCTGCTCTGTCCCTTAATCTGCCCCCCGGCTCCATCCTGCCCCCAGTAGGACCCCACAGGCCAGACAAAACTGAGAGCAATTAACACAGAATTCCGTCTGAAGTCATTTTATTATCTGAAGAGTTGGGGCTAGGTCCATAAAAGGAAACACAGATAACCAAAGGAAACACTCAAAAATACTAGCCTGGGCCAGGCGTGGAGGCTCACGCCTGTAATCTCAGCACTTTGGGAGGCCAAGGGATCACTTGAGGTCAGGAGTTCGAGACCAGGCTGGGCAACACGGCAAAACCCCATCTCTACTAGAAATACAAAAATTAGTCTGGCATGGTGGCGGGTGCCTGTCGTCCCAGCTACTCGGGAGGCTGAGGCAGGACAATCGCTTGAACCCAGGAGGCAAAGGTTGCAGTGAGCCAAGATCACACCACTGCATTTTAGCCTGAGCAACAGAGCAAGACTCATCTCAAAAAAAAAAAAAAAAAAAAAAACTAGTTTGGACCTAGCACATTGTTTGACCTTCCTAGGTGGTAACTATTAGGAAGATTGAGTCTATCCAGTTTGGGCAAAGGTATGAAGAATAGATGTTCTCGCCTAGATGGTGAGTTTACAGGTGGGTTGGTTTGCTTTAAAAGGGTAATTTGAGGCTGGGCGCAGTGGTTCATGCCTGCAATCACTTTGGGAGGCCAAGGCAGGCAGACCACTTGAGGTCAGGAGTTTGAGACCAGCCTGGCCAAAAGGGTGAAACCCCGTTTCTACTAAAAATGCAAAACTTAGCCAGGTTTGGTGGCGCACATCTGTAATCCCAGCTACTCGGGGGACTAAGGCAGGAGAATTGCTTTTTTGAGACAGAGTCTCACTCTGTCATCCAGGCTGGAGTGCAGTGACATGATCTCGGCTCACTGCAACCTTTGTCCTAGTTCAAGTGATTCTCCTGCCTCAGCCTCCCGAGTAGCTGGGATTACAGGCGTGTGCCGCCATGCTCAGCAAATTTTTTTTTTTTTTTTTTTTTTTTGTATTTTTGCTAGAGAGCAGGTTTTGCCATGTTGGCTTGGCTGGTCTCGAAATCCTGGCTTCAAATGATACACCCGCCTCGGCCGCCCAAAGTGCTGGGATGACAGGTATAAGCCACCACGCCTGGCCCAGCGTCTGTAGCTTGATTTCCTTCCTACTCTCTGCACCCTCTTCTGGGTACTCCAGTGCACACTGAGAACTGGTGAGGTTTTGGAGAAGCAGACAGTAGAATGAGGGAAGACTACCCTGAGAAGGCAGGAAAATCATTTCCACTGCTCTGCAGGGGAGCTAAGGCGCAGGAATGCCCTGAAAGATGAGGGGACATGTGCTGGATTGAGCGTGATGTTTGCTGGGGGGAGAGTGGTGGTGCAGGTGCATTTGTAGGTGACAAGAGCAGTAAGACCAAGCTGAGATGTTTGTTTATTTATTTATTTGAGACAGAGTCTTGCTCTGTCACCCAGGCTGGAGTGCTGTGGTATGATCACAGCTCACTGCAGCCTCCACCTCCCAGGTTGCAGCAATTCTCCTGCCTCAGCCTCCCAAATAGCTGGGATTACATGTACACACCACCATGCCCAGCTAATTTTTGCATTTTTAGTAGAGACAGGGCTTCACCGTGTTGGCCAGGCTGATCTCAAACTCCTGACCTCAGGTGATCCACCCCTCTTGGCCTTCCACAGTGCTGGGATTACAGGCATGAGCCACCACATCCGGCCCCATAAGCTGAGATATTTAGACATCAGAGGAACCTCTGTGGGCTGAGTAGGCCTGGAAATGCCTCTGTAGGGCAGATCAGCATCAGAGAGGCCATCGAGAGGCACCCAAAGCCATCCTGGGAGGAGGACATGAAGGTCCAGCTGGGAACCCAACTCCCCTGGAAATGGGGGCTCCACCTGATGGTTGGCTGAGGGGCACTGAGATGTATGGTCCAGGAGGCTGTGTTGACTGGGAGGAGAGGAGCCTCTTTTTGCTGGATGACAAGGGTTTCCAGTTGAGTCTGTTGAGTTTGGGGTGATGGTGAGGTTTCTGGGTGGAGCTGTCTTGGAGGCCTTGGGTCTCAGGGGAGGGCTTCCGGGATGGATCCACTGCCATTGCCCCAGCCCCTGCTATGGGCCGAGGTATGAAAATGTGGGTGCTCACCATGCACTAAAACGGCCAGCACCTTGGTCTTGAACTTTGCAGCCTTCAGAGCTGTGAGAAATAAATCTCTATATTTT